CTCTTTGGGGACTAGTAAACACTTATTATGAAGTGTTACAATCATACAAGATTGTACATGAGTGGTATATGACCACACAAGGGAGTGTATGGTTAAAATGCACAACAAATGCGTGTGTGCAGTTGCACACATGAGTGTTCAGCCGTACAGTGTGTGCGGCCGTACACAGGAATGTGCGGCCGTACACTCCTAATTTGTGCCCAAATGTTGATTTTTGAGGTGTTCTTAAGTCATATGAAGGTGTGCGGCCACCATATGAAGGTGTGTAGCCACCATACGAAGGTGTGCGGCCGCACTCCTTCAAAGGATGAAGAACACGTGAAGAACACTAAGAACACTATGAGTTTTAAGCTTAGATTAAGATGTTTTACCAGTAACAAGCTGATTGATGGGGTGATTCACGTTCTTGAGGCTCTTAGAGTGTTCTTTGAATGAGATTTTTAGAGAGAGAAAGTAGAGAGAGAAGTAGAGTGCAGCCAAAGAAGGAAAGAATGAATGAAGGGGGTCCTTCCTATATATAGAGGTGAGTGTGTGGCTGAAAACGGGTGTGCGGCTGCACACACCTGTGTGTGGCCGTACACTCAAGTGTGTGGCCGCACACTCCATGTTTTGGAGTGCTTGGCCCGATTTTGCTTGATATGCATTGCATTATCCTGTTTCTAGGTTCCTACCTCATTTGTATTACGTTTAGAACGTTCCAATAGACCCCACACAGGGTTGAAAGCTAACAAAACGAGTCTAACTTGGATTCAATTGGTCTCTTGTACAAGAAAGGAATTTCAGGTTGTCACACCTCCGAGTTTTGAAATTCATTCGGAACCAATAAGCCATAAACATTCTTGATCTTAAGCTCCACATATCCCTCATTCAAACAAATTTGATAGAGATTAAGTAAAGTTGAAGTCTCCCCAACCTTAGCAACCAAAATCTTGGTAGAATCATGTAATCTTAACACGTCTTTTTCCTTTAAGATAATTTTTTCTTGGATCCCATCACATTCGATGCTGCATTATTATCATTATTGCCCGTAACGACATTCACATAGGATGTTTTAAGACCACCAACAACCCTTCCATGTCCTTGACCACCAAGTTTCGATCTTCCAACAATTATATAATCAATTGAAGGTGAAGCCCTATGTTTCATATTTAATTGAATCTATTAATATTACGAACATTATGATCGACTACCTTAATAAAAATGCAAGTTGACTTATCAGGATAATTACCTTTTCGTTTTGTTCATATTTGGGTAATTCTTTTTATATACAATTAGATAACGAATTTGTTGAAAGTGTTCTCGTATGATCATTATGACCAGATATAACCTACTACAGCCGGTCATAATGGTCATATTTAAATATTCCCAATAAGTTTATTATCTCGATCAATGCAAAAAAAATTATTATCTAAATATGAACAAAATAAAAAATTAATCGGTGTTTTTCCAACATGTTATCCTTCAAAATTTTTTAGCTATACTACCCCATATTTTGGTGGGGATCGACCATGGTTCTTTTAATCCTCCCTTCCCCATATTTGCGATATTGTTGTCGCCTGCATTTGTAGTCTAGCCCACAAAAGAAAGTGCTACCCCAATAAGCCACTCAAGAGTCGAGAGCGGACCCAGCAAAAAACTCGAACCCTTATCAAAATCTATTAACACCCATCAAATTTCAAAAAATCGCAGCTTCTCCTTCTCTCAAGATCGATCGTAGGTTCTTTATCCCTCTTCTTCTCCCTCCAATCGATCACCAGACGCGTCTCCTTCTTCCTCTATTCAACTTATGTTTCGACCCATGATGTGACTACGATTTCTCCAATTTTTCTGCTTGTTTCTTTAGTTTTCTAGATACCCGTGTTTGATGATTTCTTTTGGCGTGTTTGGTCGTTCCTTTTGAATCGTTTTCTAAGCTTCTCTTCGTGCCTCTTGCCACCCACTGAAACGAAGGTTTGCTCATTTTGGTTTTGCACACCAGGTGTTTGATGTTTCGTTTGTTTGAACATTAGAAGATTCTCCGCCAACTGCTACTGGTTCAACCCAACAAGATGACCTGGATGTTCCTTAGAAGGGCAATCATCTTTCGAGAAATAGTGAATTACCATTTTCATCCAAAAAACCGCAGCCTTTCCTCAAGTATCTTACGTTCTGTCCATAATAGAACTGAAGCAACTCGTGATTCGAAAAATGAATCCAGTTCTTCAAATTACAATCACAACCTTCACCATTTACCATTGTTTTCAAAAGTTTGTGATCAACCCCACGATTACAAACTTGACATCGTAGATGACGAGACTTGGGAAATTTCAACAGGTTTCGCAGATGCCATGAAAGATGCTACTTCCCCATCACAGGTAACTAATTCCTCTCGTGCTCAAATGGTTAATCATGCACCTCAAAACCAAAACGACCCTGATTTTGATGAAATCGATGATTTGAGAATATGTGGAAATCTGTTTTATAAGCTTGACAAATCTTCAAAAGAATACGAAGAATACAATTTTGATTTCCACAGGAGGAAATCTTCTAAAAGGAAGGGTGATTCAATTTCAAAAGAGACCCCTTCTTCAAGACTTGAAAATGTTTCAAACAGACAAGATGAGATCACAGAAAGCAAAAAGAAAGGAAACCAACTTTCCAAATTTCATAAATTGGATAAACTGGAAGGATCTTTAATGGGAAATAAGCATAAGCAAAAGGAAAGGGTTCCAACTTTCAATCAGTTAACAGCAGCTTATCATGAGCCATTTTGTTTGGACATTTACATCTCAAAAGCATCTGTACGTGCATGCATTGTTCATCGAGCAACAAGTAATGTTGTTGTTGTGGCTCATTCCATTTCTAAAGACATGAAGTTTGATCTGGATTCAACTAAGAATGTTGCTGCTTGTGATGCTGTTGGGAAAGTATTAGCACAAAGAGCTTTAGCTGATGATATTCACAATGTGATTTATACACCAAGAAAAGGTGACAAATTGGAAGGGAAGCTTCAAAGTGTACTTCAGTCTTTAATAAGTAATGGTGTATGGGTGAAGGTGAAGGTTAAGAAGACGAAAGCTCGAAAACCTGGATTTCAATCTGCAGATTATAAGTTTTAGATATATGGAGTCCTTGATTTTCTCTTTTATAGAATCCTTAAGGAGAGAGGTGATATAGAGGCAGATATGAAATGACTATCTTGTCCCTTGTCCATGTTTAGTAAAGTGTCAATTATTTGTACATAATGGATTTAACGAGGAAAATCATAACCATGTAAGAAATTTTCTTTCAACTCATTTTTACTATTTTGTTTTTTGTTTTTTCACGAGTTTATCTATTAAAACTCTATTTTGTGTGTATGATTATTTAATTGATTTCATATGTATTCATCCAACAATTTTCATATTTTGGATTTCATATGCTCTTCAAGTATTTTGGCATTTTTCTCCTTGCATATAATGTTCGTAGAGCAACCAAACCAGTCAGAACTACAACACCATTCGTTGAAACACATTCTTTTATTTTTAACTAAAAAAACATGTTTATATTTTTTAACCAAAACAACATGCTGATGTTCATTTGGATGGCGGTCCTCTAAATGTCTATTTTTGATCTGAACTCAATCAGGTCATAACGTCGATCACGATGAGAAGTAAAGTTTTCAGCCCTAAAATAAGCTTAAATTGCGAACGGGTGCGAACCGTCACAATGAGTCGCAATGCCATGTTTTGGAATGTGAATGTGAGGAGGGCTTTGAATGCGAATGGGTATTGGATAGATGCGAACAATTGTGATTGGTGGTTAGATACGATCAAATGCGATTGATTGCGAGCGGTCACAACCTATCATATGTATTTGGTGATCGTTGCGATCCAGGTTATAGCAGTGAGGTTCGGTTCGCATTTGCTAGTCGCTCGATGCGAGGGAGAGGGTGAATGGATACAAAGGTTGTCACAATACCAATGGGACATATGGACGTGCATGATGACTTGGTTGCGATTGACCTTGATGCGAAGGAGGTTTGGTGGATGCGAGGTTACTTTACACGTGGCGTTTTTTAGGAAGCCTTGGGAGTTGAAGCGATGCATTTTCTATTTCCTAAGACAACTTCTTCCAAGACACCATTTACCAATACCACTACTTCGAAGACGTTACTTTTCAAGACCAACATTTAATAACATTTTATTAAGTCTTTTATTAACATCTTAATAAGCCATTAACTGACATAGTTAAATAGTGTCTTTAAGTTATTTTACCGTTATCTTTGTAAGGCTATAAAAGACCATGTTGTTCATTTGTAAGAGGGGATCAAATTATCGAATTTATAAAAACTTTGAACTTGTGTTCATCTTTTCAGAGTTGTTGCTACAATTCAAAAGTTGGTCTTTACGCGTCTCCTAATTCTGATCTCGAACTCAAACTAATATCTCTTGGTTTGTTTTCACCAAATCTCAAGTTATAGGTCTAACTTATTTTTCACATTTATCATTTGTTCTTTTTTCTTGTCGTTGTTCTTGTTTGTATTGTTATTTCGCTTCAAATTCGATCCGAAGCTCCAAATTTCTTATCAATTGTTGTGTTGGGAATTCGAGTCGTGTTGTGGACCCTTGGAGCGGTCAAAATACTCATAAGTTGTAGTATCAAAGCTCAAAACCTCTTACCGGATTTTTGTTGATTACAGTTGTTGTTGAAGTTGTTGTTCTTTTAAAAAAAATATTGCTACATGTATCAAAGTAAAGTTCGATCGGGAGCCGAAAAGTTCTTGTCGAGGTATTGTTGAGTTCTTGCAAAAATTTGATGCTATTGTTGTTCTAGCTAAAAGTTCCTGCCAAGGATTATTCTAGATGGATTGGGATGATCTGAAGTTTCTTCGTGAAGCCATGAAGGATATAGCTGAAGAATCAAGTCGAAGGTAGCCTAGGCGTGAGCAGACAGGTTTGTTGAGAAGTTGAAAATGAACGAATTGCCTAAATTCGTTGGAGGATGCAATACATAAAAAATACTTGGATTGGGAGAAAGAGATGGAAAGAATTTTTCAGTTCAAAGGCGTGGACGATGAATGGAGTTGCAAATATGCAATTCTAAGGTTGCATGGTGAAGTTGAATTGTGGTATGAGGGGTTGAAGGCAAAGAGAGCTCGTGAGGAAAATGGGAAACTTTCTTCTTGGGAATCTATGAAACGAAAACTCCGAGGGAAGTATGTGCCAATGACCTTTTAAGACTATTAATGTGAACAGAAGGGCAAAGACATTGACAAAGATTTCTGTGATCGAAAAAGAAGTGGAAGAGTATGAAGCCTCGGCTGTTGACATGGTTTTGGTACGTGAACTTCACAAACCCTAGATGACCAAGTTAATGTTGTCGGCCTCAAGGTGGAAGAAGAAGTCAAGGAGGAAGCAATTAATTTCGTTGTTGAAGACGAAATTGCTGAAGTAAATATTGAAGAAACCAATTTCGTGATTAGAGATGAGAAGGATGAAGTAATGGAGGAATTCATTGAAGAAATTAAAGAACAAGATAACTCCAGAGCCGAAATTGTAACACTTAAATCCTGATAAGTTTCTCTTTTGCCCTTATGTTATTTAAATTGTCCATTTTAGTTCTTGAGTTGTACGCGGGGTGTACCACAAGATATGCTTAGCGTACAAGTTGTAAAGCGTGTACGCAGGGGGTACCAAGTGGTGCGCTTAGCATACTCATGCAAAGGCTTGATCGGGGTTCCAGAGGAGTACACGGGGCGTATGTAATGATTCTTGAAACCCTAATTCCCGAGGTTAGCCACTATATAATCATCCTTATGGCTTTTGAAACCCTTATTTCTCAGCCTCCTTAGACCTTTTAGCCCCATATTCGAAACCCTAAGCCCCTTCTTTGTGTTTTGAGCTTATTGTGTTCACTTTTGGTGGTTTTGGTTCATATTCAAGAAGAACAAGTTTGTTGCGAGGTGGTGGATCAAGGAAGAGCTTGTGGATATCAACCTTTTGCTTCATTTCCAGCTTACTGGAGGTAAAAAACTATGAACTTGATCAATGGTGGACTAGATCTATTATGTTTGTGTTTTTGTCCCTTTTTGGTCTATGCATAAGATCTAGTGGTGTGTTTCCGCTCCAGGAGCTTTGAGTTGCCACTCTTGGTGTTTCTGAGGCTCTAGATGCATAAAGTTGTCACCTTTGAAGTTTAGATCCATCCATGCATAAGTTATGGCCATTTTTATGAAAGTAGAATGTTATAATTCGAAGTTGGGTTTCGCATCTTTTGGGCCTTGGATGGGCTACTTCTTTGGACCTTGCTGCTTTGGGCCTTAATGGGCTATCTGCAATCAAGCTTTTGGACTAAGGAAATTTATTGAGCTTTAGGGTAAGGCCCATATAAGGGGTTTAGGCCCAATTTGGAAGATTGGTCCATAAGTGGGCCTTGAAGGATTATTCGATATTAGGCCTTTTAAATTGTGGATTTGGGCCTTAGTCTTGGATCAAGCTAGTCCAGCGGTAAAATGGTCATTTTACCCTAAGTATGTATTATTGGATATAGAATGGAACCCAAGTGTTAATTGGGTGTTATTTTGTACTAATAACTCGGGGAGTCTTCATGACATCAACTAGAGATCTTCAATGAGATTCAATATTCGAGGTGAGTTTCCTCACTGGGTTTAGCGGGTCTAAGGCACCAATACCAACCCTTATTGATTAAGCTAGGATGTAGGGAGTCTGCGTGATCCTTGCATGTGTTATGTGCTGCAATGTATACCACGCGGGGCTCAATGCCGGGTGAGGCCCAATGACTGGAACATATTTTATTGTTTATGATCATTATATGTATTAGCTTGATTATGTGATATATATTGTATGTGTATAGCGGGCAAGGCCCAATGACAGGCGAGGCTTGAGAATAACAGATATGTAAACCGAGCGGGGCTTGCTGTTGGGCGGGGCCCGTTGCCGGGCGAGGCCTAATGTAGGGCGGGGGCCCAGTGTGTGATTTGTTATGTATGGTATGGGGTAGTTTGAGGAACTCACTAAGCTTTGTGCTTACGATTCTCAGTTTATGTTTTAGGTACTTCCGGTTCCAAGGGGAAGAGCTCGGGATGACTGCATCTCACACACCACATGGATTCACCACTTGATATTTCACTATGATTTTTTTGATATTTGATACACTTGTTTTACTTGGGATGTATGATGATGCTCGAATACTGTTTTAGTTAAATTAAAAATGAAAATTTTGGATCATATCTTTTGGATGTTAAAAAAATTGTTGGAACTGTGGAGGTAATCGTGGAGGAAAACAATTTTGTTGATGCGAACAAAGTTGTTGAGAAGGAGGTGAATCTGGTTGAACCACGAAAAGAATTCCATGAGTCGACATCTACATCAGTGTGTTCAATAGTTGATGAACAAGCTTATGAAACCGAGGAGCTGTAGTAGGTTGACTGCGAAGATGTGATTGTGATTCAAGGGAATGTGAAAATGATGGTGGTTTCTCAAGAGGAAGGCCCAAATGCTCATTCAACAAATGATGCCGATACTATTGTTGAATTAAAAATTATTAATGAGCCTACAATAGCTGCAATTTCTTATGCAGGAGGTAGCACCATTGAGGTGAAGGTTGTAGCTGGTGACACTCATTTGGGAGGTGAGGATTTTGATTTACCCATGGTGTATCAGGAACCACCCCAGAAGACAAAGGGTGATAGTAGAATGTTGTACCCTCTAGAAGGTGATATGAGGTAGGTTTCATAAAGAGATATTCTTGAAGGTTGCGATCAGACACGAAAAGAAACATGGCATACTGAATTTTAAATTTTGTGTTGGCCACAAACAACCAATGTTGTGGTTGGTACTTCGTTTATTATTCAAGAACATCTAGAAAGATCGAGTGAATTTGGTGATGAGCGAAAGAAGAAGGATGATGTCCATTTTGTTAGAAACCATCTTTCTAAGAGCAAAGAAGGAGGAGTGAATCATCATGAAGAGTCAGATCCTAAGTATCCATATAGGAAGGAATTCATAATGATTGGATTCTTATTCTTTTAGTTTGCTATATGTCGGGAGGCAATGAAATTAGGATGTACCGTTCATCACTTTGATGATATGAACCATGACCCAGTCCTTCAAAAGAATATAGTTAATGGTTTCAATTTTTACAACATTAATTTGTAGGGTCCTAATTGTGTTCATGAGAAAATGAAAAAGTGGTTGTTGTTCCACAAATGGAAGACATGATTGGGGAGAAACAGGTATGTGAATGGAAGATAAGCGGATTGGTAAAGAAGAGAATCCAACATTGTTCTCGTTCATTACAAGGAGAAACATTACTACGATCGAAATGCAATTGACATCGTTGTGAATGGTTATATAGTTGTAGTAACATCGTTACAAATGGAACTGCGATGTCGTTGCAATTGGAGGGGAAGCAATATCATTGCGATCATGTCAGTTGTATTAATGCAACTGGATCAATTGTATCATTGCGAACAAAAGGGAGGAAATGTCATTGCAAATGAAACAATAACA